CCTGGAGGCAAAGCTGGAACCTTCCTGGAGGGATGCGCTGGTGGGCAGACAGCCTCCCTTAAACAGCCTCCACCTCGAAGCAACTCCGCTTCCCCCTTAAAATAGGAAAGAAGCATCGTAATTGTCACTGTTTTCTTTCCTAAACGCCGCGGCCGGCCCACCGTCTACCTTATCAGTTGTGAGGCCTAGGAGGGCGGGGAACACAGCCGCGGCCCCAGAGGAGGCCTCCCCCCGCAGGGAAGTGAGGCTTTGTCCCCCAGTCATTCAGCACCTGGCAGGAACCCCACTCAGGCCAGCGGGGCCCGGAGTGTTTGGGGGAACCCTGAGCAGGCAGGATGCAAACTGACTTCACCTCCACGGGCCGTTCCCAGGCCGCTGCCTGTTTGGAGCACACGGAGGAATCGGGGGAGGGGGCGGGGGGACAGCCAACCTTGCCCCCCTCCACCTCTGAAGCCGCCCCGAGGCAGGCTCCTTGTCGCTGGAGGAGCCTGTTATAAAGGACAACATGCTCGTGCGACGCCTCAGCCTCAGCCAGCCCCAGCCGAGGGCCGTCCTGAGCCCCGAGCCTGGGAGGATCCCCCGGTTTCTCCCTCCTGGGGAGCAGTAGTTCCCCAAGACCCATGTCCTTGTATTCAGCGAAACTCTGGCAGAAAGTCCGCCCAATGCTCCGAGGCCCTGGGCATCGTTCGATGGGACACTTTGCTGTTGGCGTTTCGTTGTTACCCTGCTGAGAAAAGTACCAGTGTACTGCCCCCCAGCTTCTGAGTGCACTGGGTGGTCTCTCATGGAAACAGAAGCAGTGTGCCCTCAACTGGGGCCTCCCCTGAGGTGGGGGCGGGACCGAGAGGTGGTGCCTCCCGGTCATTCTTCTATGGGCCATGACTGCCTTGGGGCTTGTGTGTCCCCAGTGTGGGCGTGAATCTCCCTCCCCAGCCCTGAGTTACCCCTTTTACGTCCCGTGACCTCGGCTCCCTGCATCGGGGCCCCAGGACAGCAGAGTGTTCGTAGCAATCACGTTCAGGGGTGCCCGGTGCTGGCCCCGCTAGCTCCTCTCTCTGCCCGCAGGCGCATTCCCCTGGAGGAGGTGCCGGAGGACGAGGGCAGGTGCTCGGCCTGGCTCCACAAGCTGTACCAGGAGAAGGTCAGTGCGCGGGTCTGCAGGACCCAGGCACCCATTGCCGGCCGCACAGTGGGCGCACGAGGGGTGCTCCGTGGGGCCCTCGGGGGTCTGTGGTGCCAGTGAGCCCTTCCTGTTGAGTGAGATCTCATACCCAGCTAGTCACGGTCCTGGAGCTGACCCTCTACTTAGCAACAGGGCCAAGAGCGCAGCAAAATGTTTTTAAAGGGGCGTCACAGAACGAGTGGAACTGTGTTAGGGGTGCAATGGGCAGAAAAGGAAGTAATGGCCCCACAGCCCTCGTCTGTCTCCCTGCCTCTGCTCCCGAGATCTTGGGGTGTGCTGTCCCCCTGAGCAGTGCTCCCGGTCTCAGCGGCTCCTGGGTCCACACCTGGTTTCCTGTCTGGTCTCAGCGTCGCCGGTGGGAGCAGGCAGAAGCTCCCGAGTCCACCCTGGCCAGGCGCGATCTCTGCAGTGCCCCCGCCCCATCTGTGGTCCAGCTCCCCAGGGCCCCCCGCTTTCCCTCCTCTGGGCACGGCCTTATCTTCCACCCATTTCTCTCCTTCACGCGCGGGGCAGAGGGAGTCTGATTATTCCTGCCCTAGCCGCTCAGTCTTGGGAAGGAGAGGACGTTGGTGTCCGCTGGGTGACAAAGGCGTTTCTAGGACCCGGTCTGGGCGCCGTCAGCACTTAGTTCTGATCCATCATAACTTTAGGCCCCGACCAGCTCGCCACCTAAAATCCAATACGTGCAGCAGGATCGAACGTCCCTTACTCTATAAACACAGGCTGCCCGGCATTGGCTGTCTCTTCTCCCCGCTCCCCACGTTTCCACACGACTCCCAGTCGTCGAGGTTCCTGCTGATGCCGCCTGGGCCCCGACAGAAACACACTGCAAACTCTTTCCTCCGGTTTCCAGCTCGAGGCAGCGTTCTTACTGGGCTGTCTTCCGGCTGAATCAATTTAGCTTTATAACAAATGTCACTATTAGCAGAAAGGAAACTGCTCAGAAAAGGCCTGAGCAATGAATCCTTTTGCAGAGAGCCCCACAAACGAATCGACAGCCAATGCAGCCCCCAAAACCCATCCCAGCAAAGGAGACTGTTCTCAGTCGGCCCACCTGTGCCGGGGCACAGTCTCCTGAGATGGTCACAGCTAGGGCTGAGCAGGAAGCTGACTCATACTGGCCTGTTCTCTCCCTTGTCGCCTGAGAGGCATGTGACCGGTCACACAGGCATCAGCATGCAAGGGTTGTCGGGTCCAGGCCGGCGTTTTCCAGATGGGAGACGTTTGAGGACGCGGTTTGGCTGTACCCATTAGCCCTGGGGACCCACCCCTACTGGCTGTGGGGTGTGGGCTCTGAGAAACCGTTCACACCCTCACGGGACCCATAGGGACCAGAGCAGTTCCCAGATCAGCCCCACCGCAGGTTGAACCTATAGACCGAGAAGCACCTGGGGACAAAAAGGAGTTCTAAGGAGAGTGACCTCACAGGGTGATCTGATCTTAAATTCCTAACGGGCAGGTCGCTGGGAGGTCACACCCCTAACCTCTGACTCTTTATTAAAAAGCTTACCTTTGCCTTAAGCCAGCCCTGTCTCTGGGCATCTAGGTGAGCGCTCCTGTGAAATAACCGCCCTGGAGAGCACCTGATCTTAACTGCCCTGCTCCTCCCACCCCCGGGGCCTATTCCCAGCTCCCCCGCCAGTTCCGCACGCGTGAAAGCCGCACATTGCCGCCTCGGCAGCATTTTCCTCAGTCTTGGCGACCTTGCTTCCAGGCACAGCCTCTGTTTGGCTCAGAGACATTTTTATGAACATTCTCTACAGGTTTGGATGCTCTTAGGTCGACACACCTTCTCGTTTCTCAAAGTCCTTCCTGGGTCATGGTATGCAGTTTGCTGGAGGGATTAGAAACGAGCCACTGTTGGTGAAAATTAAACAGGAATGAAACGAGCAATGCTCTGAGCTGCCTTGGGGTGTGCAGGCTCCGAGGAGGCCGGGTGGGAGCGGCCCTGGGTGGGGTGCGGGGGCTTATCAACGGCAGAAATTTACTGCTCAGTTGTGGAGGCTGGGCGATCAGGAGTCCGAGCTCGGGGTGACAGCTGGGTCTGATTCTGGTCACGCCTTCATCGCAGGTGCTGTGTCCTCACAGTGGAAGGGGGAGGGAGCTTTCTGGGGTCTCTCTTAGAAAAGGGCACTAATCCCAGTCCTAAGGGCCCCACCCTCACAGCCTAATCATCTCAAAGGCCCCACCTCCTAATACCATCACCTCAGGTTTCAGCTCGAGTTCTAGGGGGACACATTCAGTCCACTGAACCCCTTCACCTAGTTATCAGGCTCCTGGTGGCCCCAACCTGGGCTGAGGAACATCACCCACGTTTCTGGCAGGGAGGTGACACGGGAGGCCTTGGCAGAGTCGGGCACCACCTCCCCAGGCCTCTCCCACCTCAGTCCCTTCCTTGTAAGACCTCTGTTTAGGTGACTCGCTGTCTCCCTGTTCTGGAGAGTGGGGGCGCTCGGCACAGGAGCCTACTGTCCTACAACTGCTGGATTGTTTGATTTCCCTGGGGCACCCCAGGCTTCCCGCAGCTGCTGTCGGGGAGCAGGAAGACGAGGCAGGGCTGGGCCTGGCGAGGCAACGAGCTGGGGCTGGGCGCGGACAGAGCTCCTCATCTCCCTGGGCGAGGTCGGGGCGCTTCCAAAATGGCCCATTTTGTGAACCCACTTTAAAAATAATGACTGTGAGTGGTTGGAAAAAGCACCTTTTTCTGTTCACCCTGGCTGGAAAAGGGGAAAAGCACGATACGCTTTAGCCATTTCTGTCTCAAGCTGTTAAAGAATACAGCCCCTGAAGTGAACGGAAGCTCGTTTTCCAGAAGACTCTGCTCCTCAGAGGACCGACCGGACGCTGCTGGGCAGGACGGGCCGCGGCCTAGGGCCGCGTGTGACCCGGCGTTTCGTTGGCACCCACCGTGCCAGCCCCAGGGCGCTCTGACACCGTGGGAGTTAGCTGCCCATGTGCAGAAGCATCGATAATTGAGAGGGAAACTCCCTGTGGTGGTCTGACGCCGAACCGGGGAGGTGGTCTCTGGCCCTCCTCCGTGGCTGGACCCACCCCGGGCCAGTGTGGTCAGGGGCCACAGTCTTGGCCGTCGCCACCCTCGCCCCAGCCTAGCAGCACCCTCAGCTGTGGCTTCTTGGGGGCTGCTGCTCACTCGCCCGCAGACGCAGCCCCGAGTGCTGCCCAGTCCAGGCATCTGGGGCCCACCACCCGCAGGAGCCGGCTGCGGAGCATGGCTGGGCACCCTGGTGCTCTCTCCCACCCCAGCCCATCATGTGCCTGCAGACCCCCAGGGGCCTTGGGAGGGGCCTGCGGAGCCCGGTGGTGTCTGAGGAGAGCACTCAGGCCCCCTCTCTGTCCCCAGGACGCCTTCCAGGAGGAGTACTACAGGACGGGCACCTTCCCCGAGACGCCCATGGTGCCCCCCCGGCGGCCCTGGGCGCTGCTGAACTGGCTGTTCTGGGCCTCGCTGCTGCTCTACCCCTTCTTCCGCTTCCTGGTCAGCATGGTCAGCAGTGGGTCCTCCCTCACGCTGGCCAGCTTCGGCCTTGTCTTCTTTGTGGGTGAGTGCTGGCGAGGGGCACCGGGGAGGGGTGCAGGCCACGTGTGGGCAGCTCGGCGGGTGTGGAGTGGGACTTTGCCCGCTCGCTGCTCTAATACCTGCCCCCAAAGCAAGGAGGGGACATGCTGGGCACTGGCACTAGATGTTTGAGCCTCTGGGTTCTCCAGGCACCTGGTTGCTCTTTACTAAGCTTCCCTGGAGGGTGCCCCAAGTTCCCAGCCCAAGTCACAAGACTCCTCTGTGCCTTCTCTAAGCCCACGGACAGCGGGCAGGGTTTCCCAAACTGTTCTCCAGGGTTGAAGGCTCAGACCCAACAGAACAGCCTATCTCTGTTCCTTTGCTGCTGTTAATCTTCACCTGAGGATATTTTTTCCATTGATTTTTTTTTTTTAGAGAGAGTGGGGGGGG